TGTGTGTGTGTGTGTTTCTCATTCTGTGTCAGTTTCTGTTTCTTTGTGTGTGTGTGTGTGTGTGTGTGTTTCTCTGAGTGTGTATGTGTGTTTCTGTGTGTGCGTGTGTGTGTTTCTCATTCTGTGTGTGTTTCTGTTTCTTTGTGTGTGTGTGTGTTTCTGTTTCTTTCTGTGTGTGTTTCTTTCTATGTGTTTCTGCCTGTGTGTTTCTCCGAGTGTGTGTGTGTGTGTGCATGTGTGTTTGTTTTTCTCATTCAGTGTGTTTCTGTTTCTGCCTGTGTGTGTGTGTGTGTGTGTGTGTGTTTCACATTCAATGTGTGTTTCTGTTTTGTGTGTGTGTGTGCGTGTGTGTGTTTCTCTTTCTGTGTTTGTTTGTGTTTCTCATTCTGTGTGTGTTTCTGTTTCTTTGTGTGTGTGTGTGTGTGTGTGTGTTTCTCTATCTGTTTTTTTCTGTGTGTGTTTCTGTATGTGTGCATCTTTCTGTCTGTGTGTTTCTCTGAGTGTGTATGGTTGTTTTTATGTGTGTGTGTGTGTGTGTGTATGTGTGTGTTTCTCATTCTGTGTCTGTTTCTGTTTCTTTGTGTGTGTGTGTGTGTGTGTTTCTCTGAGTGTGTATGTGTGTTTCTGTGTGTGCGTGTGTGTGTTTCTCATTCTGTGTGTGTTTCTGTTTCTTTGTGTGTGTGTGTGTGTGTGTTTCTGTTTCTTTCTGTGTGTGTTTCTTTCTATGTGTTTCTGCCTGTGTGTTTCTCCGAGTGTGTGTGTGTGCATGTGTGTTTGTTTTTTCTCATTCAGTGTGTTTCTGTTTCTGCCTCTGTGTGTGTGTGTGTGTGTGTGTGTGTGTGTTTCTCATTCTGTGTGTTTCTGTTTCTTTGTGTGTGTGTGTGTGTGTGTGTGTGTATGTGTCTCTGTCTGCGCGTCTGTGTGTCTGTGTGTGTATGTTTTGTCTGTGTATTTTTCTATCTGACTGTGTGTTTCTATGTTTCTTTGTGTGTGTGTGTGTGTGTGTGTATGTGTCTCTGTCTGCGCATCTGTGTGTCTGTGTGTGTATGTTTTGTCTGTGTATTTTTCTATCTGACTGTGTGTTTCTATGTTTCTTTGTGTGTGTGTGTGTGTGTTTTTCTCTCTATCTGTTTTTTTCTGTGTGTGTTTCTGTATGTGTGCATCTTTCTGTCTGTGTGTTTCTCTGAGTGTGTATGGTTGTTATTATGTGTGTGTGTGTGTTTGTGTGTGTGTATGTGTGTGTTTCTCATTCTGTGTCTGTTTCTGTTTCTTTGTGCGTGTGTTTGTGTGTGTGTGTTTAATTCTGTGTGTGTCTGTCTGTGTGTGTGTGTGTGTGTGTGTTTCTCTGAGTGTGTATGTGTGTTTCTGTGTGTGCGTGTGTGTGTGTGTGTTTTTCTCATTCTGTGTGTGTTTCTGTTTCTTTGTGTGTGTGTGTGTGTTTCTGTTTCTTTCTGTGTGCGTTTCTTTCTATGTGTTTCTGCCTGTGTGTTTCTCCGAGTGTGTGTGTGTGCATGTGTGTTTGTTTTTTCTCATTCAGTCTGTTTCTGTGTGTGTGTGTGTTTGTGTGTGTGTATTTCTCATTCTGTGTGTTTCTGTTTCTGTGTGTGTGTGTGTTTCTCATTCTGTGTGTTTCTGTTTCTTTGTGTGTGTGTGTGTGTGTGTGTATGTGTTTTTTGTCTGTGTGTGTATGTTTTGTCTGTGTATTTTTCTATCTGACTGTGTGTTTCTATCTTTCTGTTTCTTTGTGTGTGTGTGTGTGTGTGTGTATGTGTTTTTTGTCTGTGTGTCTGTGTGTGTATGTTTTGTCTGTGTATTTTTCTATCTGACTGTGTTTCTATCTTTCTGTTTCTTTGTGTGTGTACTATGTTTCTGTCTGTTCAGGAGTGTGTGTGTTTCTGTCTGTCAGTCTGTCTGTGTGTGTGAGAGTTTTTATTTATCTTAGTGTTTGTTTCTATTTCTGTGTGTGTGTGTTTTGTCTGTTTTTCTTTGTGTGTTTCTATCAGTGTGTGTGTGTGTGTGTGTGCTTCTATTTGTCTGTTTTTCTTTGTGTGTGTTTCTGTCTGTTCATGTGGGTGTTTTTGTCTGTCTCTGTCTGTCTGTCTCTCTGTCTG